TCTCCAGAAGAAGCTTTCCAAGCTGGCTGTGTTGCTCTTTTTCATTGCCGTCGTTTGTGCCATCATCGTCCTTGCAGCCAACGAGTTCAGTTCTCGCCAGGAAGTCATCATTTACGCTGTCGCCACCGGCTTGTCCATGATTCCAGCTAGTTTGGTCGTTGTGCTCACAATCACCATGGCAGCTGGTACCAAGTCCATGGTCAAGCGCAATGTCATCGTCCGAAACCTGAAGTCTCTCGAGGCTCTCGGTGGTGTTACCGACATCTGCTCTGACAAGACCGGAACGCTTACGCAGGGTAAAATGATTGCCCGTGGTGCTTGGATCCCAGGTGTTGGAACCTACACCATCGAAGATTCCACCGCTCCTCAGGACCCCACCGCTGGTCACGTGCGTTTCGGCTCCGCTGCTCCTAGCCAGATGGACCTCAAGTCCGGAGGCGAGGCTTGCGGTGAGCGTCTCGGTGTTGAGAAGCTTGAAGGCCACAACATCGAAGGCTTCGGTGAATTCCTCAAGGTCGCGTCTTTGGCCAACTTGGCTGCTGTCAAACAGAACAATGAAGGCGCCTGGGAGGCTCATGGTGATCCCACCGAAATCGCTATTCAGGTTTTCGCCTCCCGGTTCGGCATGAACCGCAGCCATCTCGTAAAGGGCGACTCTGCTACCTGGGAGGATCTCGTTGAGCTTCCATTCGACTCCGACGTCAAGCGCATGTCAGTTATCATGAAGCACGCCTCAGGCAACTACGCTTTCACCAAGGGTGCCGTCGAGCGCGTCATTCAGAGCTGTACCACCTACCTCGCTGACGGCAAGGAGCAATCCCAGCCCATCACCGACGAGTTCCGCGAGGAGATCCTTTCCCACATGCAAGCTCTGGCCAGTCTTGGTCTCCGTGTTTTGGCTTTGGCCAGCAAGAAGTACCCCGGCGAAGTCGAGAAGGGTGCTGAAGTTGCTCGTACCTCTGTCGAATCTGACCTTGTCTTCCGTGGTCTCATCGGTCTTTACGACCCTCCTCGTCCCGAATCTGCTGTTGCTGTCCGCCAATGCCACGAGGCTGGTATTGAGGTCCACATGTTGACTGGTGACCATCCTGAGGTAAGTCTTGACTACAAAAAGCATTTGAAACATATACTGACCCTTTATGCAGACAGCAAAGGCTATTGCCATTGAAGTCCATATCCTGCCATCAGCCGACCGCTACAAGAGGATTTCTGCCGATATCGCCAAGTCGCTGGTTATGACTGCTTCTGAATTCGATGAACTCACTGATGATCAAGTCGATGAGCTCCCTGTCCTTCCGTTGGTCGTAGCCCGTTGTGCGCCTAGCACGAAGGTTCGCATGATCGAAGCTCTTCACCGCCGCGGCCGTTTCTGCGCCATGACTGGTGACGGTGTCAACGATTCTCCCTCGCTGAAGCGTGCCGACGTTGGTATTGCCATGGGTCAAGCCGGTTCCGACGTCGCCAAGGAAGCCTCCGATATCGTCCTCACAGACGACAACTTTGCATCCATTCTCGCTGCCATTGAAGAAGGTCGCCGTATCTTCGACAACATCCAGAAGTTCGTGCTGCACGTCTTGGCTGAGAACGTCGCTCAGGCTGGTACGCTTCTCGTCGGTCTTGCCTTCAAAGACAGGACTGGACTCTCCGTTTTCCCTCTCGCGCCCGTCCAGGTTGTGTGGATCATCATGGCCACATCTGGATTGCCAGACATGGGTCTCGGTTTCGAACGCGCCGTCCCCGATATCCTGAACCGCCCGCCCCAGTCCCTCAAGACGGGTATCTTCACCATGGAGTTCCTCGTCGACATGGTCGTCTATGGTCTCTGGATCACGCTTCTCTGTTTGGCCAGTTTCGTGCTCGTTGTCTTCGGATTCGGAGACGGAGAGCTCGGCCAGGGCTGCAACGAGACCTATTCCGAGCAGTGCGAGTTGGTTTTCCGCGCCCGCGCTTGCACATTCGCCTGTCTGACATGGTTCGCTCTCTTCCTCGCGTGGGAGATGATCGATATGCGTCGTTCTTTCTTCCGCATGCAGCCTGGCAGCAAGCGCTACTTCACCCAGTGGATGCTCGATGTATGGAGGAACCAGTTCCTCTTCTGGGCCATCATGATCGGCTTCGTCCTCCTCTTCCCCCTCATCTACATCCCTGTTCTCAACACGGTTGTGTTCAAGCACGCCCCCATCGACTGGGAGTGGGGTATTGTCTTCGTCGAGACTGGTATCTTCTTTGCCGGTATCGAGCTTTGGAAGTGGTGCAAGCGCGTCTACTTCCGCCGTATGGCTGCTAAGCACGGCAATGGAAAGGTCGACAAGAACATGGACATCGAGGACCGTACCTTTGGTCGCTACTACAGCCGCGACTCTTCTGTCGCTGGTAGCGAGAACATGCAGGAGAAGGCTTAGAGCCTTACCTATGGAGGAACTGTATAAAGTGAGATATTGCAGGGTGAGGAGGCCCTGCTAGGAGTATGCGAGGAGGTTTTCTTGCTCTTCGCGAGCATGATACCTGCCTAGCACAAAAGTTAGTCATATAGAATGCTTAGACATGACCACGACAACGTGCATTACGATCCTTAGATATAATAAGAAAGATTACCACATCATACATTTTGCCTACTGCAATTTGTGAATCACAGTGCGTGACATCCTTCCAAGATTGTTGCCGCTGCGAGCCCAAGCGACACGGAATTCCCTTCTGGCGCTCGGGCATCCATGAGACCCATCGCACTAACCGCTTCGGGCGTGACTGCTAGCATCAGATACACAAGGAACGAATGTGCAAGTACAAAAGATCGAGAATGTATTCAAAGTTGTTTTTATCTGAGCGGTCTTCCTATGTATACAGTCACAGTGAGGCGCAGCCGCCGAAGTAGACTGCGGTATTTTGCATTGGTGCGATGCGGTAGCTTTGCGGCATTTTACTTTACCCCGACACCTTACCTACAAACCCTCCGCACCAGGCCGGAAAAAGATGAGATCGTCATGAACAACATGTGCACAGCGAATCGCGGGATAGAATGGAAACGTGAGGGGGTTGCGTGGGTAGTTTCTCTAGGGGAAGTACCGCGCGTGTGACTTCTCAACTTGGAGCGATAACCTAATGTTGAGGCCGGGACATGCATGCGATGGGAGGAACAAGTATAAAGCATTCGTCTAAAAATTGGTATTCGTCATGAAAGTGTAGTGGGAATGGCTACCAGCCGGTACTTCTACGTCAACCAAGAAAAAAAACTGAACAGGCCCGCAGCCTACATCAACATGAAAGCCTATAAGATAGGTGACTTGGCGTCGATGTAGGCTCTAGACGTATTCAGGTTTTTCTGGGATGAGGTGGGAATGGCTACCTGCCGGTACCTCCACCCTCCAAACAGGTAGGTAGAGATGCAATATGATACAAATCGCGCAACGATCTTCACCTAAACGACCAATCGCCCTGGCTCGGCTTCAAGCACCGTCTTTACGCGCTCGAGGAAAACACGACCGCGCTTCTCGTCGCCCTTGGGCACGCTCACACTGAATACGTTGAGGGGACCCGCGACACCTGCTGCGCCCGAAACAGGCTTAGCGGAAGTCTTCTTGCCGGCTAGCATGTCGAGAATGTCCGACTTTGGTGCTGGGGCGCGCTTGCTGGGGATGGTGGTGGGTGGTAGCGCGGTGACTTCTGGGACGAAGTTGCCCCGCGAGTACTTCGACGATACCTTGTCGAGACCCAGAACAGCGTTGAATAGCTCGTCGGCGGTTGGCTTTGCGACCTTCGAGCGGGGGAGATCCTCGTTGGCGAGCTCGGCAGCGCGCGCGACGAATGTGGATAGAGGAAGGAAGACGCCTATTGAGTCCTTGACGCGCTTCTGGCATTCCATTACTGCGGTGAGGGAGACGGGTAGTGCTACCTCGATAGGAAGGTCTTCGACAACCGCCGGTGCTTTGGCTGCCGGCTTCTTTGATGCTTCCTTCTTGGGCATGGGCCTAATGTTGGAGAGATCGAGGTGCGATAGCTTAGTAAAGCGACTCGCCAGCTCTGAAGGGTAGGAGTTCTCGATTTGTCCAACGTAGGCGAGTACGTCTCCCTTGAGCAGCCTGCCGCCAGGACCAGTCGCGGGGATCTTGTCAGCCTCCTCCTTTGGCAGACCGTTGACTTCGAGCAGGTGTTGTACGGAGGGGTATAGCGGGTAGGTTTGCTTGGAGGCCTTGCCGCTGGAGGCTTTCTTCGAGGCATCGGATTTGGCAGGCGGGGCAGAGGTTCGCTCCTCCTTTGGTACCGGCGCAGGCTCTTTCTTGGACTCCTTGGGCGCTTCGGCCTCTTTCTTGGGCGCGGGGCTCTCTTCTGCGGGTATCTCGAGGGTGGAGAGGTCGTCGCCGGGCTCTGCTGTAACGGCTATCCGTGTGCCGACTTGGACTGCTTTGGAACCGTCCTGGACCTGGAGTTCGTGTTAGCCATGGACTGAAGCCAATATATCTTCCCACGTACAGTGATCTTGGCCAGGATACCGTCATCCTGCGCTTCGACGTCCATCTGCGCCTTGTCCGTCTCGATCTCGAGCAGCACGTCGCCGGCGGAGAAAGAATCTCCCTCCTTGATCTTCCAGCTCGCAATGTTGCCCTCGGTCATGGTCGGTGAAAGCGCAGGCATGTTGAAGCTTTGCGCAGCGAGCGAAGCCTGACTTGAGTGCAGTCCTCTCCGAGCACCTTGGTTGCGCAACTGCTGCGAGGCAGCCCGCGCCGAGACCCTACATACCGCGGCGAGCGAAGCCATGGGAAATCAATTGACGGGCGGAGACAATGGCAGTGGGAGGGTGTTGAGCGACGGTGCCGATCTGCTGGCCGAAATGTTGGGCGGAACAAGCTTCGGAGGTGTCGAGCGGGACGCGCTTGGGCCGCTTCTAGCTGGACTTTTTCCCGATATATCGCGAAGACATCCACGCCCACGTACTGCCGCATTAACTTGCTGGAGTATGCAAGGTGTATAGCGCTGCATCGAAACCCCGTATCACTGCACTCACAATGCCCGCCTTCTCCCGGGGCTTTGATGCCTTCCTGCGCCAACACACCCTCCGCCTCCCCTCATCCCTCCGCGCCGCCCTCTTCGGAACACGGGAATCGTTCTTCACACCAACCACGATACGGACGATACGGCAGAACCGCTCCTTCACATCCTCCGTACTCCGACGCTACCAATATCCCAAGACCAATGTAGTCGCACCGAAACCCAGCTCATTCGTGAGCAGCGACCCCGTCCTCCGCCAAGTCGTCCAAACCCGCCAGCCAGTCCTCCTCTACCAAGCGCCCAAGAACAAGTGGTACTATTTGAAGGTGTACGGAACAGGAGCATTATGGATTGGTGTCGGTGCCTTCTCGATCAAGTTCAATGACGACATCAAAGACAACGGACTATCCTTCTTCGTACGACCAACCTATGTCGTGGTAGGAGTTGGCTTCATTATCATCGGCTGCTACATCTGTACCGCGCCTAGCAACCGTATGCGCGCACTGGAAATCCTTCCCAGTTTACAAGGCGGGCCCATGCAATTGCGTATGGTTGTCAAGCCAGTGCCGTGGCTGAAAGAGCGCGTCATATACACAGATTTGGGGAAAGCGACAATAAGTGAGAAGACGGAGCCCATGGTAGCTGAGCTGCTCGAGGCTGAACGGTTCAAGCGCCAGAAGCTTTGGGATGACTTGGGACACATGAACATCGCGGCGCGTGCGTGGGAGGGTTCCGCGCGCTGGGTACATCAGAAGTGGACTAACTTCTTTTTGAAGTTCAAGTTCGCCGTGCTGAGGTTTGGCATTGCGAAGGTCAAGGTCAGGGGTGATGAGTGGAAGATTGACTGCTCGGGGTACTTGCTCGAGAACGGCAAAGGTATGTTTATGTGATCACAATCCTGAGATGAATATTAACCAAGACAGCTGTCGATCGAATCATACCTGAAGAATAAGACGTCGCGCACACGTTCAAGGAAAATACTCTGAAATGGTTTGAGGAAGTCGTTCCTAGTGTTCACAACTACGAGCTCGCTGAGATCGAAGAAGCGCTAGCATTATGGGTGGCGACAACTCCCGCTGACCTTGGAAGTGTCCGTTGTTGATACGACGGCACACGATCTATTACGAATCATGGTAGTATATCATGTACAAGATATGTATATAACGGCAAGCAACTGTAGAATACTGTAAGATACCGGGCCCGCGCTATTTGCAAAGCGCAATGCTGTCGATAAACCTCTAACGTACGTCTGGTGCATTGAAACGCAGGATCGAATGCTTCTTGCCACCCGCTCAGGATGACGATGAGTAACGAGGTGTACGCTTTCGCTCCTGTCCAATTCTTCCACATCTTGCTTTCCGCCTGTTTGTCAACATTGTCTACGCAGGCACTCGTGGCTGTGTTATGGCCTGGATTTGCTGACAGGGCTGAGAGAGACTCCTGCGTCCAGAACTAGCCAGCTCACCTGCCTGCAGCGTGACTACATACAACCTTGAACGAATGGGAGATCTAGGACTGGGGCCAGCCCCCCTGCGCAAAATCACAGCCACAACGCCGACTGACGTAGGTCGTCGTTCCATGGTCCATGGAGCACTGAACAAATATTGAGCGGGTATTCGAACCGTCAACTCGTCCACTCTCGCAACTGCCCAACGCTATATTGACCATTCGATCTGTCAACAACAAACGATGCTACCGAATACCGACGGAAAGCCCCTCTAGCCTGGCATATAAGGCCTTGCACATACCCTCTCCCTCTTTACTGTTTCTAGGCCCGCCCACGACTGACGTCATACGCGATCGCCCTCGCTCCCCAAGCATGCGAAAGTCTCGCTCCACATCGCACCCGACCCCAAGGGCCTCCTCCGTCCGTGGTGGAGGCCCAAAACCAAACAAGAACAACAGTAGACCCGCAGTCTGGAAGGAGTTGGAGGCTTGGAAGCTCACCTCGTATGGGCCATGGACTGAGGCATTAGTCAAGAAAAGTCTTCGATTTCATGTGGACGAAGCCCGGTACAAATCTGCAAACGGAGATTACCGATGTAAGTGACTACAGCTGCCAAAGTGGGAACATCGCTGATGAATTATAATAGCCGTCGTTAAGCTTGAGGTACTGGATGAGGACAATCACGAGTTCGATGCCTCGGGAGTCCTCATAGGACTCGACCTAGTTCTTACCGCGGCACATAACGTTCGAAATTCTGGTGGAGAGAACAATGTCTCTCGAGCAGTATCTATCAAGGCGTACATTGGATACCATCTTCAAGGCTCCTCGTTGAAAGGAACTGGTGTTCAACAGCGTTTCGGAACAACCGCCATAGTGCTTCAAGAATGGAAACGCTCTGGATTCGCTTCGCAAAACGACATGGCTTTAATCAAGCTCGAAAACAAGTTCACGCAGGTCACACCAGCTTTGTACCAGGCGCCATCATTACCGGTAGAGACAAGAGTGCTCGTCGTAGGCTATCCTGGCGAAAACAAAAAGCAAGTCCGCGGTTCATGTCCACATTGTCAGACAGCTGGATGCATGTATGAAGTGGTGGGCGAGGCTAAGCAGGCGACCGAAAAGCTGTTAGAGTATAAGCTATCGACCGTAAGCGGTAAGTGCCAACCCTGAGATACATCTAGGCTTTGGAGAAATGCTAACAGGAAGGTCTAGGCAACTCCGGAGGTCCCATCTTTCTCGACAAGATGCCGAGAACAGTCATAGCTACCCACACCGGCGCCGTCCTCGATCGAGTAGGAATCAATCAGGCCACTTTAGTGGACGTCGACTTCATCGAAGCAACCAAGACTTTCCTGAGCATACCACATTCATGTTCTCATCGCCATGTCCGGATGAGCCGGCAAGGTGGTAGTCGCTTCTGGAGTATCTCTTTGTCGATAGAGGTCATACCCGGTATCACAACCCCCATGCCTTCCAGATCCAGAAACCAGGCATAGGCCTGTCGCGCCTGCCATGTCGCATACCAAGGACAAAACAGGCTGGGCCAAGGTTTCGCAATCGAGCCCGTACAATGAGGAAGAGGTGTTCGACATGGTCTCACACCGTGATCAGCCATGATACACAGCACCTGAAGCTCATCGATTCAACACACATTGGTAAAGTCTTCGACTGCCATGGCAGCGTTCAACACCCTGTCACATCGCGATCACATATAGCGTCCAGCAAGCTCACGCACTCGGTTTTCGGCTACGGCAAGCTGTATCCTTGCTGTCACACTTCCTTCCCTTCACATTATACCCCTTGTAGATCTCTTGATCATCGCTGCATATTATGATACCCCCTTTTCCATTCTTCCCGTTGTTTCTCGGTGGTCGTTGTCAAGGAGGCAAACAGGAACTATTTAGCGAACGATGAACGTGTAGCAGAATGATTCTCGAGATTTTGAGTGTGTGCGATATCAGTTTATGAATTCTTAGACAGTCTAATCGCAGTGTGTATTTCTCTCTTACGTGCCACAGTCTTCTTTCATTTCCACGCCACTTGGGCATGTCGTCCATACAGTTCGTGTACCATGTTACTGAAAACAGACGGCCTTTATCTTCCATTTATGCCTTGATGCTGGGTCCAACCCCGAAATTCCACACTCTCAAAACCCCACATCCAGCCAATACCCCGTACTCCCCTTCCCCTTGTAAAACTGCGTGTATGCACCTATCGTCGACCTATCATCCTTCATATTAGCACACCCCCCTGAAGATCTCCTGTCACAACCACTTACCCGGCCATCTGCTCCTTATCCTTAGCCTTCTGCCAATCCTTCCATCGCTCCTTCTCAGGCAGCGTCGCATCCCGCCAGCGCTCTTTGCCTGGCTCAACGGATTTGGAACGGCGGGAACCGGAATGAATATGCAGTTTTGAACGCCAGGAATGTGAAGAGGAGGGACGTTCTGGTGTTGATGTGGGGGGTTTTGAGCTGGATGTGGATGTGGATGTGGATATGGAGGTTGTGGATGCGCTTGTTACGTTTACGAGGGGTGTGGTAGGATCTTTCTTCTCGGTGGACATTTCTGGGACTTGAAGTTTGGATGGGTCTGTCATTGTGGGAACGATACGTGTGTAGTTGAAGGGGAGAAGTGCGGAGATGCAGTGATGGGGACAGTAGGGAGGGTATATGGTGGGATGAGAGGTGAACAGGTTTTATTGTAGCACAGCGCTTACTATCTACATAGTATCGGTAGGGTATAAGTTGTTGATCACTGGTCGTGGCTGTGAAATCTCACTGTCTGTGAGACGGGCGTAAGGCGTCCACAGGGCTGAGTCCACTAGCCGCCCCCAATGTTGCGGTTAGTGTGGCGCTGTGGCTGCGACCGTATCGGACCGACTTGCGATCTGCAAACTGTATGTACTTGATGTAAACATTTCTTACTGACCATACACTACTTTACTCTGCCAGCTCCACCTCATCAAGATTCTTCCGTATAAACTTCGTCACGGCATCCAACCCCTCCTTAATAACGTCCGTCTGATTAACAAACCCGATCCTAACATACCCCTTGAACTCCTCGCCGAAACAAGTATTACCAGGCACAAACATGACGCCAGTAGCCTCCAGTAACTTTTTGCAAAAGTCCACAGAGTCCACTGCCTTGCCTTCTCGGTGGAACTTGACGAAAGCCGTAGTACCAGCCACAGGCTTCACCCACTCGCACTCATCCTCGTTCTTGAGTTGGAACTTCTCCAGAAGAGCCAGATTGGTTCTCGCGAGTTGGATATTGCGGGCTAGTAGACTGTGCACTGTTGACGAGTGAAGAGCGTAGGCGGCGATGGCTTCGTCGAAGTAGGACACGGAGATTGTGGTGTAGTGCCGTGCTGAAGCGATCTTTTCGATGATTTCAGAGCTGCGAGATGCTATCCAGCCGATGCGGATGCCGGCGAGAGAGTAGGCTTTTGACATGGAACCTGTGACGATGACGTTCTTGTAGCCCATGGACAGGAGGGAGGGTGGAAACTCTTTGTCTATTGGGATGATGGAGTGGAATAGAGGGCGGTAGACTTCGTCACTCATGATGGTGATGTCCTTTTCGGTCGCGATGTCGATGAGTTCTTGGAGGAAGGTCTTGCCTAGGATGGCGCCGGTGGGGTTATTTGGGTTGTTGATGATGATGAGCTTGGTGTTGGGCTTGATGAGCGTCTTCAGCTCGTCGATGGTTGGTACCCATTTGTTCTCTGGCGTTGCTTTCCATAGGTCGACTTCGGCGCCCAGTTGCTTGGGCACTTCGTAGAGAGACTGGTAGGTGGGGTAGTGACAGATGACATGGTCTCCCGGTCCGACGAGGGAGTATGCAGTCAGGTAGTTTGCTTGGATGGCGCCAGGAGTGATGAGGATGCTTTCTGGAGAGAGGGGGTTTGTGACCTTGGCAGAATATAGTCTTGCCAAGTTGTTGCGCAGGTCGTCACTTCCTCTGATGGCCCCGTAATTCAGGACACGCGAGGTGTCGAAAACCGGCTGATCTTTGTTCTCTGACAGCTCGCGTAGCTGATCGACGGAAATTGAGGCGCAACACGTCTCGGCGATGTTGTACTTGCATTTTGTCTCGTACGCATCCATCCACTGGGCATGTTAGTCATTTCCCCACGTGGAGTGCGAGATGCGGGGAATGACATACGGACTCGACGGCGAATTCTTCAATTTTGACCATTCTGGCTTGTGAGATAAAAGGAGATCTGTGACGGGCGGAAGAGCGCAGAGAGGTTTTAGACGAGATAGTCTTTATGTCTCAAGGTAGCTCTGGGGATTGACATAGGGCGCACATGATGGCCTCTCGAGGTTCCGCTGAAGCGGGCGAGCTAGTTGCTAGAGCGCTCCGACGGCTAGGTTGGGCTGGCAAGAGCGCGTCGCCGCTGATGGCGCGCGATCACGTTGATCGTCGCGTTGCTAGAGACGAGGCTGCTAGTCGCGTGATGCATATCCTTGAATGCTCTTCTGCATGTTGTGCCAGATATCG